TTAGAAAATGTGGTATCGAGGCCGATACCCGATACCGGTATCGGTGCATCCCTATTGTAGATAATAGATAAATATTAAAGTATGAATATTTTAGAAAAGAAAGAATGAAAATGATGTAAAATCAGCCTTTAAAGTATTATCAGTAAAATCAGGTTTGTGTTGGTTTTTGGGATTTTTACACATAAATTAACAGTTTTCATCTTATAAATTATTAGTTTTTCATATTAATCTCTTTACAAAGCACTACATTTGTCTCTCACTGCATTTGTAACTGTGATCATGTAGTGTCCGTGCTGAATAGGATTTTAAACACGCATACGCAGAGCCGAACGGCCCATGTCAAGCCTGTTCGCCCTGAAGACTATCAGCTCTCCGGGGAGAGAGGCCATCGAGCAGCATTATCGACATTATAGACGCCTCAGCCTGGAGATAGGCTTCCCATCGATCCCCTGATTAATTACTATCTGCAGGCAGCAGCACAGTGAGGGATGGAAGAGGAGGAGGAGGTGAGAATGATAGAAAAAGGGGAGAAAGACTGAAAGAGGGGGGGAGAGAGCAGGGAGAGTACACCTTGGACTATCTATGAATATCAGCTAAAGGCTACGCAGTAATCTTCCAGGTGGAATATTATTTATTGATATATAGGTAGGCAGGAACCCTTATCTTACCCCCCGAACACACAGCCAAGGACAAAGTGAAACTCACACATTACTGTGGTGGAAACAACTCGCAAAGACGAGTAGAGGACACTGAAGCATCCACACTTTCAACCAGGTGACACAACATGGCTAATAGAGAAAAACAAGCATGCCACATGTTTATTCGAGCCTCTGTGCGCACTGTCAGCACCTCCTCGTCTTAGCCTCCACCGTCTAACCAGAAGAGTCCGTATCGGTTAAGAGCTAGCCTGCACAGTGTATCCACAGCTTTGTTAGGAGCTGTTCAGGTATTTCACAGAGTGACACGGCCCGAATGCAGGCGCATAAGCTTATTGACTTACGTTACAGCAGGTCGACGGTCTCAGGGGGACGAGGAGTGACCCCGAAGCCTTTAACTGGAGTTCATTAATGGTAACTGCTTGTCCTGACCAGTCGCCCTCGTCAGGGGAAGGAAAATAAACAACCAAAACCTGCACTTCCTCTAATGTCCACTCGAAAACTGAGGCCATTATTGGGTTGTGGCCTCTCTGACTAACAGCTAGGCTTCACCTGAACTGGACCTCTGAACCATGTATGGAGCATTTTAATGACATTATCCACCAACAGTGTGGCTGCTGTGGTGTTGTTAGCGCTGGGTATCGATTCGATTCCGACTCACAAGGTCCTATTCGATTTGATCGTAACGTTACTAACAGACCGCCCAGGAAGTCTCGTCTTCGCAGAAGTGCCTTAAATGTGCCTTACTTTTAATGGCCACAAGGGGGCAATACACGTGGTTGCCCACACCTTTAAATTGCCCTTTAACCTCCTAGGACCTGCGTCCACATATGTGGACATCACATTTTGGGTTATTTAGACCAAAATACTCAATTTTGCTCTACAAGCACCTGATATTCACTTACGAGGACATTATGCTGCTACTGTTCTATCAGAATTTTAATCGAATATCCTCATATGTGGCTCTTATTTTTCTTAAAAACAAAAATAAGGTAAAAAAAAAAAATCTGGTAATTCTTTGTTTTTACATTCATCGGGCCCCAATCAGCCCAAATATCAAAGAGAAATTAAAAATGCTGCCGTGGAAGAGTTCGGGTCTTAGGAGGTTAAAGTTAACGTCACTTACAACCTTATGGAAGTCAAATAATTTGCTGTAACGAGCACATAAACCTCATTTAAACCAGGAAGACCTGGCCATGAAGGCACAACATTAAATCATATAAAACATGAATAACATAATACTTTATAAAAAGCTCTCAACTCTCCCTGAGAGACATAAGCCTCCGGCTTTAGAGAGCTTATTGGTGACCAGAAAGGTTCAAAGGTTATGCAAAGGTTCAAAATAAGAAAATGTTCAGAGAAAGTTCCGGGTACCCAACAAGGAGCCGACTGTGATCAGCATAAATCACAGGAACAGGTTTGTGCTGCTGTCTCGTCAGCTGAATGAGAAGCTTGACTCTGGACAGCCAGCTGAGTAAAGTATGGTGTCATCTGCATAAAGGTGCACTTTAGCTGTAAACATATTCTGTGCTACATAAGTTATTAATGATAGTGCAAATGAACCTGAACCATGGTGGACTCCTCTGAAACTCTTCAGGAAACCTGACATCTGCAGCTTCCAGCAGCATCACCAAGTCTGCCTAACAGCAGCTCGACAAATACAACAACACAATTATTCTTCTGGTCCATTAATATTGTGATTTGTTCCCAACATAGCTGTTGGTACCATGACCCAGTCGAACGTCAGACTTTCGTCAGTTTCACCTAAGATATTAATATCAGCCAAACATTTAAGCTAAGAGATTATTTCAGATTAACAGGGTGATAATTGTTTAAGCCTGGAGGGTCACAGCCTTTCACAAGATGCCTGATGTTAGTCTGGAGACTGTCAGGTGAGTAATGTACATCGTGTAAATATAAAGCAAACAAGATGTTTTTTACAATCCAACATTTTATTTTCTAGCAGCACTTTGCAGCACGAAGCTTTAACAGCTTAAATGTGGCTCCAGTCACGTTACCTTACTTAAAGCAGGTAAATTAAGCTAATTAGTATCCTGAAGTAGTTCCTGACACAGTGGATGGTTTTAGAAATGACGGCACCTCCTAAAACTGTTCTGAGGGGAAACTTTTCCAGTGACAAAGAGAATAAAGTTCTACCTTCCACCCACTCCACTCACCCAGCGAGAACTTTGAGGGCTGTAGGCGTAGAAAGAGAGAAGGAACTGTGCTGAATGCTTAATGCATTGATAATCGACTATCATCGAAATAACATTGAGAACATGAGAGAAAAACAGACAAGAAATCCTCTTATTTAATATTTCATGTGTGGAGTTGGTGGTGCATGTTTTTGTTCTGCTGTTATCAGAGGATCCAACGGGAGGAGCTCACACAGAGAGGCAGGAATACAGAAAGAATTCCGAGTATGGGATCATCATGGAAAACAGGCAGGTTTGTGTGTGTGTGTGTGTGTGTGTGCGTGTGTGTGTGTGTTCATTCCCACTGACCTGAAAAGCTCTGTTAATGCTGGATCCACAGGCACTGGAAGAGAAACACAGAGAGATTATGAAACATGTGAAATCCGCCTGAACGGCCACAACTGCGACTCTGCATCAGTTTCCTGTGACATCATCAGGGAAACTCGGAGCTGGAGGGAACGTCATCGTCTATACTTGTGTCTGAGGACGTGTGTGATCTGTCTGCAGCTTATTACTCTCGTCTGAATGTTTGGATCAACAATATGGAAACGATGCAGTGTCACAAAGTCAGACCAGGACGACTACATGACACACTGAAATGTAACACCCGTTAAACTGATAAATATTATATCATATTTGATAAACTAAAAAAACTGAAACTAATAATAACAAAGCTTTTAAGATAAACATTAAAAACTACAGTTTAACGTTAAACTGTCTCTAAATCTAAATATTACAACGTTTGGAAACTGAAAAGAAATTGATTCAAATCTATGATTTAAAATTAAAAGAATTATTGCAGGAAAAATCTCAACATGGTGACAAATATGATTATAAAGACCAAAGATTCAATATACTTTATAATATAAGAGTCGAAATTTAATTTGTAATTTCTCTGTGGCAGCATTTTATTTTGATATAATATTTTTATATGATATGATATATACACATTTGGGTTTTGTGCTAGTAAACAGTAAAACGCTGTCATGTTTGCAGACGATACACGTTTATTTTGCTGCATTCAGAGGCAGCTGGAGCAGAAAGGTTTGGTGTGACGATAAGAAATAATCTTTAAACTTTCATGACAACAAAACTGGTTCGATTATTTATATTTAACATCTGTGATTTTAAAAAGTGCAAAATGTTCGAGTGTCACGAGTGATCATAAATGAACAAATAAATATGTTGAAAGGAAAAAAGTAACATTGTGAGAGCTGAGCCATCACAATGAGAACAATTTAGATACAATGTGTCTTTGGTTGGAATATTTCACTTTAATTTCATGGGACAAAAAGCATGTAGATGATGGAAGCTCCGAAAGTAACAACAACAACAACAACAACAATGATAATAATAATAATAATAATAATAATAATAATAATAATAAAATGGATTATTCCTAAAAACCAAGTCTAAAGACCTGAACCCGAAGTCACCAAGATCCCATAATTTCCTTGTACATGAACAGTGGCAATAAAGTGCTATTCTATTCTATTCTATTCTAGCGTTTGGGATCCTGTCCTTTGGTGCACAGACGTGACCCTTGACCCAGCAGACTCGCTGCAGGACTGTTAGACGTCCGTTTGAGATGGTTTGTATGTCACTGATTGCCAAAACTATACTTTTCTAAATGCTGCTCGTCTAACAGCCGGGACTAGCTTCACAGATGAGAGCTGTAGAAGGATCCGGGCTTAAACATCACTGGGATTAGCGAACAAAGGTCAAAGGTCAGTCCCATGTTATACTGCAGATCCTCTCTGTTTAAATGAAGGGAACGATGATCTCAGTGACACATCTTTGGTTTCGCCTGAACTTCAACCACACGGCTAACGAGCTGCTTGATCCTCGTGATGGAGGAGCAGCGGTCGCCGCTTTCATCCTCGCCTGGTCAAAGATGTCGGGCACTCAGAGTGGATAAAATATGAATGTAGCATCTTAGATGTTTCAGAGTGGACCGAGCCTCGGTTCGGTTTTATTTTCCAGAGGAGAGTCGCTGACAGCTGCCGTTTCTTTGGTTTAAATAAAGTTCAATCACCTGTTTTCACTTCGCAGGGCTTCGTAGGAGTGGATATCGCTGCGGTAGATATTTCATTGTGAACAAAGCTCTTAAAATGTGGATTTCTGTTTCTGTCAGATATAAAACGAGCGACAGAGGAGCAGAGAGCCGCGAGAAAAGCCAACTCGAGTGTGACAGTCTGGGATTTGTGCAGTAGCGTGTGTGCGCTGTGTGTATTTGTGTTGGGGGAGTGAAGGTCACCCTGAATGGTGTGTGCGTCCATGTGCGTGTGTGTGCGGATACCTTTGGAGCGTGTGCGATGGCGCTTATCATCTGCATCCACCTCCATCTGCAGAGAGGCACAAACAAGCTGTTAAACACACAACAGACACGTCGCAAAATTAGCTTTCATTTGGATCCATGTTCGCTCAGGTGCTCGGGACTTTTCTGCAGCTTGTCAAACATTTCAATTCACACCTGACATCGGAAAGAACATTTCACGAGACGACCGACGGCAGCGTTTGTGTAAATGATTAAAATCCTTCAGTAAGATTCGAGTTGTCGCCCTGCGCTGGTAACAGAGACCTAAAAACCTCATGAAAGCAAACAGCCAAACCCACGGGCGTAACGCCAATGCTGTGCTTCGCTTTTCCTCAGGAACTCTTTGGGAACTGTATTAATTTCCAAAGTCTGACCACAACAGATGACGGAGTTTGTGAGCTGACTCCAAAGAAGCTTCATGGTCACTCTTTATCCTCCATCTGCCCCTCGGTGCCAGCTTTTATACATAAACATGTGACTGTTCAATCAGTCAGGTTACAGATTTATTGACCTCATCAAACATCAAACTTCGTTTCCTGGGATAAATATTCCACCTTCCTTTCACATGGAGCCCTGCTGTGGGGCTGAACAACAGTATTTCCTGGTCACACAGCTGTGCTGAAGGAGGAAGCAGTTTGTGTATCAGGCCAGTTTAACATGAGGACTCCCATCACTGCTGGAGCCCCTGGTGGGCGTTAGAGGAACTGCAGGTTTTATTTCTTTATTTTGGCCGGCCCTCAAAGATTGGTGAGGAGCAGTGTTGGTCAAGTTACTTGAAAAAAGTAATCAGTAACTAATTACTGATTACTTCCCCAAAAAAGTAATCCAGTTACTTTACTGATTACTTATTTTCAAAGTAATTAATTACTTAGTTACTTAGTTACTTTTTAAAAACACGATTTACAACCTGAATAGGTGATAAAGTGA